TAGTAAAAGACGCGTTTTTTAAATCTTGGCATATAGAATTACTTTAATGATCATTGAAAACCTCAATGATCCTAACCTTCGTTTTCAGCACATCCAGGGCTGGCGCGAGGCTTCTAAAATTGGGGGGGGCCATAAATTTTTTATGAATTTTCGGTATAAAACTAAGTTGATCGGCCACAATTTAGTTTTCGTAAAGTTTTTACTTATTCCAATTAGTAGTGAATATTAAAATTAATCAAAATATTTACATTTCATTATTTTTCACAACACGTGTAGTTCTCAAAGCAAAAAAACAACAATGTACAGTTTAAGCAATGTTCATTTTATTCCCCATATTCTTGCAGGCCCCTGTTTTACTATGACATTTTGTAGAACAAGCAACTCCAGCTCTTTTACACGGACAATGTTTTATTCCACATTTGCTTTTACAATCACACGTTGTACCAGTGACTGATCCTCTAGCAAACACTTTACATGCTTCAATAAAACTTATATCATTCAATTCTTTTAAAACTTGTCGGCAAGAAGATTTTAATTCAACAAAATGATCAACTGAGGAATGAATTTTGTAGTACCTCATATTGACACGCCAATTTAAAAACAGTGGAGTCACTCTTTTTGTTTTTTTCAATAACAATACAAGGTAAAAGTTTGGGGTCCGTGTTAGTACGATCCGCAGTATGAATTTGGACTCCAACACAATTATTTATATTAAATTTGTCTGTTAGTTTATCAACGTAATTATGATGTAATTTCATTCGTTTTGACGCAGTTCAATAATTATTTGTTGCGGTCTGCCGTATTAGATCATGTCTAGATGATGTTGATGGTAAAGAAGATGAAGAAGGTTGCGTTGATGATAAACTAAGATCAAGAGAAGAAGTGATTGTTTTAGAAGAAAAATCATTTGAATTCGGAAAAGAAAGAAAACCAGGTGATGTTATTTCATTTAAAATACTCAATGCATTTTGTGTGGAATGAACAGTAGTAGGCGTTAAACTAAAATCTACGTCGTCAAGAAGAAGAGAGAGTAAATCATTGTTGTTTGTTTTTGAACTTGAAGTAGATGCAGTATTTTCTGGTGGTGAATCGAAAGATATAAGATTATCAACACATGAATTATTAATACCGGTAGACGAGGTACAGTTTCTTGTTGGTGATATTATATCAATTAATGAACTTGATAAGGCCTCGTCAGTTAATTTTTGAACAAGTTTTGTAACATAAGGATCAATAACATCATCTCATGCGGTATCTTGTTCTTTTGAAATTACTACATCATCATCAACGTCACCATTCAAAGCAACGGGAATTGGTAAATCTTCCTCATCCAAAATTTCATCTTGCGCAACTAATTTCCAAAAATCACTATCCGATCTCGGCGCTTGTCCACACATCACCTGATAAGGACTTGTTTTAATTGTGCTGGACATACGTGTGTTGATACCATAGACAACAGGTAATAGTCCTTCAGACCAATGAGTTGTATCGTTTTGTGTCATCCATTTGCCTAATGCATCACAGAGTACGCCATTGGCACAGTCGATACAACCTTGAGATTGTGGATGTCTTGGTCTACCGCGTATAAACCACATATTGGGAAACAACAACTTAACTCTGTTATAACGTTCGCAGCGAATTCTCGACCATTACCACTATGCAACAAACGAGGTGGACCAAATGTAAAAAACAATTCTCTCAATTTAACTGACACATGAAGCGCCGTTTTATTTTTTAATGGAAATGCCCAACAAAATTTGGAATAATGATCTATGCAATTAAGAATCCAATTATAAACAGCATTTTCTGAAACTTTGTCTGGTCTGGTGCGCATATCGACCAAATCAATTTGTAAACGTGTCATTACACCCAAAGAAATAATGGGTTTTGATACAACATGATGTTTAATTGGTTTACGTAACTGACATGGTAAACATTGTTTCAAGAAAATGTCAACAGCAAAACGAGGTAACCAAGAATAGTGAGACTTTATTTCATAAACTGTTTTATGTCGACCACCGTGTGATATATTATTATGACATTCACCGATTACATTGTAAAATGATTCAAAAATACAAAAGGCTTCTTAGCTTTAGCACAGCATACAATATCGTTACCCGCAATTTTCGACAAAACAACATTCTGACGTGCCCAATAAACGAACTGTGAAGATAATGAACTGATGACTTACTCTTTTCTAGCGTTAATGCTTTAGTAATATTATCGTAAATTTCTTTTTTTATTACGCACTTTTTTATAAAATTTTCACTTAAGGAATCAATATACTTGCCTAATTCATTATAAAACAATTTTTCTTGACTTTCATGTGGATTCGTAGTAATAGAAGAAGATGAAGGCAAAGCTACTGTCGATGTCATGTTAATGTTACTGAATAAGTAAAATTACTGATATAAAATTGATAAATACAGTCAAGTGCCGCGCTATATTTATAGTACAGTTCATAACAGTACTATGTTCGCAGAAAGTTTTTTCTCTTCTATTTCTTCTCTCTCGTAGTTAATTTTCTTTATTATCTTATAGTATTTCACTTTATTTCTCTTTATTTTCCATAACACACAAAGATAGGTTATATACTTTCTAGTCAGTATAACAATACTATTCATCTACTATTGACGACGACCTTTATCGTTCTTCTTTTCTCTATTTTTCTGCTCTTTATTCACTATGATAATCTATTTCGTTTTCTGTTTTTGTTTAACACATATGTCGTGACTTACTTTGTTCAAAATTCGAATATTTTACTGCTTTTTTTGTAGCTTATTTCATATAAATAGTGATGTCAACTCAACCCATTTTTACTTGTAAAGTATCATCCACGTTTGAACAAGCTTTTATATCTTTTCTTGACTTTTTCTACGATAAAATTGAATAACTGAAGGCAATATGTACTTTTTTTACCGCTCATCCCATCATTTTGTTTTTATTTGAATTTTGACTAAAAATCTCAAAAAAAAACTTTGAATTTGAATTTTAACCGGACAAAATTTAAATTTGAATTTTGTCCAAGAACTTTCTGGTCAAACTTTAAATTTGAATTTTGTCCGAACAAATTTAAAATTTGACCGAATTTAAAGTTTGTCCGCAACATATACGTAGTTAAACGCTTTTTAGCTTGCAGAAAAGTGACGGAACAGAAAAAAATGGCACGACAGAATAGGAAATAGGAAAAGGCATGGCAATAAATAAAAAAAATAAAAGTTCAATCTAACGAGATAAGGATAAAAAGCATCGCTTTGAAGTTTTTTTAAGTAATAGCTGAGCTAATAGAATATATGAGTGCACAGTTATTGCACAGTGTGAGAAAAAAAAAGTCCACACAGGAATTTGGGGATATTTCTGTCCCTGTGCATGCCTAGATATGATAAGCGGTATGAAGAAAAAATTCTATCGATTCCTATATAAAGTTTTGTAACCAATCGTATTTTGTGCCTATGAAGTTATTCGATTTCCAGTTGTTACTGGTATGGGATATCGAATAACTCCCGATACCACTCATGTATGATGTGGCTAATAGTCATGTTCTCCGCAAATTTCTAGTCTGTCTTCGTGATTTACGCAAATTTTCCATCCAACAGACGAATGTCACCATGGCAGTCCGATTTCACGAGCGATATCCCAATGGGGATAGATATCTCGTTCGGGATATAGGGTATATCCCGAATGGGATATCGGCAAAAATTTATATTCTGATCGGGACATTTCTGCAAAACATTTTGGAAAAAATCATTATCGCAAAGATCGTGACGTTATTGCAGAAAAGTGACTATAGCATAACAAAACCGGATATAAAACTGAGTCGGAATCCATGTTGCTCTAGTCTGGATTCAGAAGCTCATCGTTCACTATTTTTTAAATTCCAGTCGGGATATACAAAACAGCATGATTAGGATATGTGCATAAATAGTTCGAAGTATCTTACATTAGTTTACATACTCATGTAAATTTAATATAATGTAATATTATGTTTTCTTCAAAGATGAACACACACATGCACATTCAAAAATAAAAACCACCGTACGTCGATATACCTTCACTATACCATATCCCATTTGGGATATAAAAATATATTCTGATCGGGCTATAACCAGAAGAGGATATATAATATATCCCGACCGGAATATATATCCTGATCAGGATATCATAGCCCGCTCAGGATATATTTTATATCCCAAATGGATATATATCCCGTTCGGGCAATGAAACAGGGCTACCTGACACGTTGGCAGGCTTGATTTCTGTTTCATTCCATACATTTTTATTGCGAAACAACGAAAAACAAATAAATGAGGTTCAGTACATATTCGGAATCAGCATCAAATTCTGAGTAAAATGACGAAAAACAACTTTCGTTTTTCACCTGACATTTCGGACCCCTGCTGTAGGTTTTCGCTTATTATGGATGTGAAAAGTTAGAGGAATTAAATTTTGTGTTTTGTCTCGTTAACTGAAAAATTGTTTAAAAGTTTTTTACGTTGTTAAATTTTTCATGCAGTTTTGTTCATTCTCAGTGTAATACGATAAAATCATAGTATTCTCCACGTTTTGTTTATTGAAGCTATTCTTCTCTTGCAGTCTAAATTTGTTGTAAAGAAAAACACACAAGCAATAGCTAGTTACAAACAACTTTAGACTGCACGCAATGTATTCAGAACACATTTCAGTGTCTCTGCAACCGTTTGGTTGTAAAACCAATTGACTAAACCTCTGCATAATATGACAAAAGTCTTATTATGTAAAGGTTGAGTCCATTGGTTTTTCCTCTAGAGAAGAAAAAGTAAACTATAAAAGAAATCACACACGCACATAACTGTGTTCATGAAATACTGAAACTAAATCAGAGTTTGTCTGCTTTTCATGTTGAGTATTAGTGTTTACCGGATTCACATATAATAAACTCATACAGTTATCGTTATTGTCATCATGTTCTTCATCGCTCCAGTCACTACTACTTGCATTTCCACTACTCCGATTTCCTTTTGATATTGTAATTTGATACTGAATGTTAACATCGTCCTGTTCTCCATCGAGTTTGTCGAATAATGAATTAGTGGTAACGAAACGACATCGCTTTCAAATATTTACCATTACAATCAGTTGAGTAATCATATTCACTGTATTTGTCATTCTTTTTAGATCGATTTAGATTTTTTATAATACTTCCAAGAAATGCAAGAACAAATGGTTGATGTTCATTTTGTTGATGACTGTTATTCACAAAATCATTTAAATTCTTCGATAAAGTAGCTAGCTGTTCATTTGCTTGTGAACATGTAGTTGTTATATTAGATAAATTAGTATCATTATTATTTACTTTATTGAACTTTTATTGAAATTTTTTCAATAATTCAGTCACATACTCAGTATTGTATTTAATTCCTGGTCGGATAACATACTCATTTGTGTTTGGGTAAATAAAACAGGGCACGTCTCTTGAGATTAACTAAGTCTTCACAATTAACATCAGACAGTGAAAACGGATGTTTCATACATTATAATAATCGAACATTTTTAATCGCTTGTTTTTCTAGAATCTCACATTCAACTGTGCCTACATACTTTTTTATAAAATCAAAAATTGATCATTCGAATATGATAGAATATCTGCTGGTAATTGTGATATATCGTAAATTTCATCTGTGGTAATCATGCTGAAAAATTTTGCGAATGTTCTTGCACAGACAAATTAAAAAACTGTTATTTATAATGTCTTATGTTCAAGAATATAAGAGAATAATAAAATCACTATCTAAATTTTCTTATTGTTTATTTTTCGATCTTTTTGAATGATGTTCAGTTGCTGCACCAGATGTTATTGTTATTGGCAGTAAGGATTTATGAATTCGTTTCAAACTTGTACGGGTATTTTTACAAATAATTGATGATGATAACGACAAAGGTTGACTATTGCTATGCTGAGTTTGTGAATTATCAACGTCTTCAACAATTGCTGCAATATCGTTTTGATCATGGTCTATTGTTTGTTCATTTGTTGCCAGTTGTTGATTAGCATTTTGTTTTTGTTTGATCATCGAACAATTTGTCTGTTTGACATATCAGTAGAAAGGTGAAATTTGAAATGTTTTTGTTTTTGGTTGAAATGGTAATTTCATTTCGATATCATAGCTGCGTTTTAAATACATATTTGATTCTTTGATAAATAGTGTATAATCATTACTTACATGTAATAAAATATATTGCATATATGATTTGCATCACTTTCCAATAAATTCGTTAATTGATTGCTTACAAGCATTTATACTTGGAAGTGCTTCTGAGGGTGCAGAGGGAGAATTATCGGTCGATAAGAATGCTAATGAAGGTGTAGCAGAAGAATTAGCAGTCGATGGTTGTGATGAAGGTGCTTGATTGATATTTGGTTTTGATTTATCATTATCTGTCTCTCGTTTTGATTTTTTCTGTTGTTGTTATATTTTTTTCAATCATTCTTTATCTTTAGCTCTGAATGCCTCAACAAAATCTTCAACACCTGCTACTACACTTGGTTTTATCATATATGTATTATCTTTAAATTTAAAACATACAGACATACACATTTTTGATACCTTGTATTTTA